GACTTTGGCCCCAAGAAGAGCACTTCATAGTTGGGGAGAAAAGATGCATGCAGAAGGAGTCAGAGACAGTAAAAAAAAAGGGCAGTAGGCAAGCTCGGCAAGTAGCTGAGGAGGTGAAGACCGCCAAGATCATGAGGAAGGGGTCCCAGACAATTACAACCTGCTCAGTGGGTGAGGATTCCTCCTGAACGTTCCAGGAGGAGAAATTGCTTCATACTCTTTCTGAACTCTTTCTCACCACATCCTATCTAGAATTGCATAATTTCAGTTCAGGAAATGTCGTATTTCAACTGAATAGGGAGCAAAGGTGGTTTGCCATTGTTCCTATCACACTGGCAGAACCAGACTAGATGAACATAAAACACTTAACTTTCAACTGGAAGTAGGACAGAAAAAGCAGAAAAAACAAAAACACAAATGATATCTGGCTATTTTAATAGTACTAGCAATTATATTAATATTTCTTTATATAATGCTTTTAATTTTTGAAGATTTTTGCATTTTGATATTTCATGATTAAAATTATATACTCTACAAGGATTGCAATACTATTTTCATTTAAGGATGAGGAAATTGAATTTATTTGTCTAATATCATACCCCTAAGTTTTGGGCCTTCAGGAGTTGAACTTACATCTACTAATGGTCTGTGTTGAATTACTATAAAATCTTCATGTTGATCATAACTAATAATCAGAGTATATATTAAGCCCCTATTATTTATTTGGAATATAATATTGTTTCTCATAGCTACCTTAGAAGGTGAGGCTCCTCAGTTCCATCTATAGTTGAAGAAACTCAGGCTTGTCCAAGTCAAGTAACTTATTCCAGGTACTACTTCTAATAAATTGAAATCTTACTCTAAGTTTGTCTGACTTTAAGCATCAAGCTCCTTTCTCCATGCTTCTTTCTCATTAGTTATTGGGATTTGAATGGATATGATTTTACTTTAATGAAAAGGCCCATGTGCTAAAAAATGGAAGATTATTCTAAAATTGTACCCTTACTTTAGAAAGATGCCTTTTGAGAATAATCCTTAGTGTTGTTTACACAAATGAGCTAAAGTATAGATTTTTCAAAAATTAGTCTGAGGTATAAGTAAAACTATTAATCCCACCCTTATACTAGATCACACTAAGATTATAAATGTGTTCTGGAGGTTTTAGGTCTGAAGGTCTGTGCTTGACAGGGAAAACCTTTGTTTTCATCTTGCCAAGTAAAGTGAGATGACCTTTCAGGCTGAACTTAAGTAGGGGAGCCATTGCTGCTTGTAAATTGCCTGACCAGAGTGTTTCCACATTTCTTCATGGGGTCACCTTGAAACAACCAGCTCTTTGCCATACATCTCATAAAATGTTCAATGTGGGTAGTGTTGAAGATGATACTGCCTGTCCTTCAGAGCAACGGTGGATCTTAAATGGTGGGAGACCAGTTGTGATTTGGTCTTTTATGCCTGGACCTCAACTTTATCCCCATTTAAAGGATTCATTATTCACAATGGCTTCCCTATATGTTAAAATAGCCCCCACTTCATGCCTCAGTAATTTTTCATATTTCCTTTGTGAACCTAAATTTCTTTTAAGACCATGACTTTGATAAATAATGTATTATAATTTTGATAAATAAAAATTTTTATGGATATCCCAAGTCAAGTTCAAAGTTATAAAAGGACTCTACAACAACTCTCTTTAAGTATATGGAAGCATTGTGTTAAGACTGTAGCTAGCCATTTATTACTGTTTTGTATTAGCTAATTGGAAAACACCTAAATTATAACTAGTCACCCCCACATTTCTGGGTTGATTAAACAGCTCATGATACTTTTTCCCTTGTAGGTTATCTCAGGAGTAATTATAATGACTTGCCCATTGGATTGTATTCCACATTTCTAATGCTCCTCTCTGCAAATGCCCTAAATATATCCTACAATCTCACACCATTTTTTTCTTATATTTTACAATGGACACATATAACCAGGAAGGTTTGTTTAGTTCGGTTTGGTTTGGTTTGGTTCTTTCACAGGAATAGCTAAATCATCATGCTACAACATAGAGAGGAAATGAAGGTTTATCTTTTATTCAGGTAGCCTATATTTACTTGAGACCACAAGAAGTTCCTAACAGGTTGTTATTGATTGCATTTACCCAATTGAGATGAGTCTTCCTGCCACATCACAGGGCATGCTCTTCTTTTCATTCCTGCCTAAAAATCAAATCCCAGATCTTCCTGACTCTCTCACGAAATTGTGAATTTTTAGAATAGAGATTTCAGGTCACCTGACAGATTTTTCATTAATTGTTCTTCTAATTCAGCTCCTTTCTCTCTGTGCCAATCAGTAACAATATCTTCTTTTGTTGGATGCTAAGTGAAGATCAGATATTCACTGTAGTAACTGAGGTTGACTGAATTATCAGGTGCTCTTACAAGTGATTTCTGTGTATTAACTCATTCAATCTTCACAACAACTTTATGAGGAAAGGACTCTTTCATATGCATTTATAGGTGAGAAACCTGAGACACACTAATCTGTGATTTACTTAAGGCAAAGGACTTTTTCCTTCCTCCTTTCCTTTCCTTTCCTCCTGTGCCTTCCCCTCCCTACTCTTTCCTTTACCTTTTCTTCTTTCCTTCCTTCTCTCCCCTCCCCCAACCTCTCCCCATGCTTCCTTCCCCTCACCATCACCTTTCTTCCTTCTATCCATCCGTTCATCCAAGCCAAAAATTTTAATTGAGCACTTTATGCTGGGCAGTATTATAGACACTAGAGATGGTAAACAGAGCAGCCCTGATGCTGACCAGTATCTTTTAGTGCCCTAAATTACACATCCCCCCTCCCCACAAGAGCCTTCTCAGATTAATTCCACCCAATTTCTAACCCACCTGGATAATCTCACCCCACCCTCCATTTCAATCCTCTTAAGTAATTAAAAAATTCAGAGGGTCATATTTTAGTTAATGTGACTGCTTTACACCCTTCTTGTGCCAATAGGCCATGTCTATCTTTATTATGTACCTTGGACACTTTAGTGAATGGTCTTGCCTCCTATAAGCACACAACATTCAGTGTAACTGCTAAACTGTCTTTGTTGCAATGAGAGGGAGATATGTGGGATAGGATTGCACCCACTTCAAAAAGAGATTTTATTTTGTTTCACCTGATGAAAGCATTAAAAAAGGCTTAGCTTTCAGCAAATGTGATCATGAAGCTGATGTAGAATTTCCTGAATGATGTTTGCAATCTGGGAGTAGAGCGTTTAACCCCAGAAGCTGTGTGTCCTCCTATCTTTAGGCATCAACCTGAGCTTCATGAAAACATTCATTCCTAGGGAAAGGTTCTAGATATTTTAACTGCAATCAGCTAAGCTCACTCTTCCCTTTCCAACTATCTCACTACCTCATGTTACATTTCTCCTATCAGGTAGTCCATGAGAAGCCATGTTTTTTTACATAATTTTAAAATCCGATGTAGAGAAATTACAATTGGGGATACACTTAGTATGGGTTTAGTGGGATATAGTTATAGTATTTTCAGTTACTTCCATGTTATGACTAGTTATCTCAGTATACTCATGTCTTCCAGGAAAATTTATGTTGCCCATTGTGCCAACTCGCCTGATATCATGACACAGAGATTCAGGGCAGAGGTTCTACCTTGATATCAATGTGTTTAAGGGTCCCCAGCACTGGAAGTATGTAGACTGAAGAAGAGAAACAAGGTTTGAAATACAGAGAATTGAAAGCCAGTCTGTGGATAATCCTTCTAAACCTTACAGTTCATATATGGTAGGAACTTGATGTTTTCCCAAAATTGATAATATTTTTAAATATGCACATATTTAAAATTAAAATTAGCATCAATAATAAAAACAAATTTGATCAATTCTTTATCTTTCTGTTCTCTCTATTAAGGAAATAAAGATCATTGTCATAGAAAGGGGTGATAGAGTATGCAGCCAAAAAAGTAAAAATAAATATCATATAGGTGTGTCAGGTAGTTAATTAATAAAAGATATGTCATATTTTTTGGATTTTGTGACACAGCATTTTTCAGTGTTAAGAATTTTTAGTTTGTTGTAATTTATTTTCTAATTCTCAATAATTATTTACTTTTGGACCTAACTGTATTTGTATGTTACGTTCTTGAAGAAGATTGCCCACCCAGTTTTATAAGTTTCTGTTCTTTCAAACCTTAATCCATCATATCTAAGAACCATTTTATGTAATATAAGGGAAAATGTGTGTGTGTGTGGAGCAGGGGTGTTCTTAGCACTCCTGGACCTTCTCTGAACCAGTTAGTCACTAAGAGTTTTCACTGTCAAATATAAGAGAACACTAAAAACCAAAGACAACTTCCCCATCCTCTTTTTATTGTTTAAAATATTCAGTGTCACTGTATCCTAGGCATTAAAATATGTTATTTTCTTTTATCTTTGTACTAGACAGGATTAAGCACTATGCTATAACAAAGAGCCCCACATGTCAATGGCTTTCACCATTAAAGGTTTATTTTTTCATTCATATCACAGGCCACTGCTGCTCCATGTAGTCATTTAGGGACCCTTACTCCTTCCATACAGTCATTTCCACTATTTCTTTTGCATCTGGGCAACCAATGGGATAAGAAAAAGAACACAGTGGATTGTGAAAGTGATCATAGAGAATAGGCCTGAAAGTGGTTTGCATCATTTTTTCCCACAATCCATTTGCCATAACTTGGTTATATTTTGTCACTTAAAGAGGCTGAGAAATTTCTAATGTGTCTCCTTTTCTAAAAAAAGAGGAGAAATATGCATATAGGTGAGTAGCAGTGTTTTTGGCTATAGCCTTCAATAGATACGTTTTAAAAAAGACAATTTTTTTTGTAGATGGGAATGATCTCATAGGGAAATTGTCCCAGCTCCCAAATATATGTGATTTAATTGGGGGTGCCATTGTGTTTTGGTGAAAAGAGTATGGAGTTTGAAATCAGAATACCTGGATTTGTATTTGTCCTAGCTCGAGAGAGAGAGAAAGCAATTCTTGTAGGTAAGTCTCCCATTACAGCATGGCTCTGCAGTAGCAAAGTGTAAAAGTCAACAGAAAAGTTTCAGCAGAGAAAGTCAAAGCAGCACCCAAAAATGCCTGCAGCCCCAGGAGATGCCAGAGAGTCAAAATTTTCCCATTCCTCTAAGGTGAGTATGTAAGGTGGCCTTTTACATTTACCATTTTTAACACATCACATTCATAGCTGCTACAAAAATGTGAACCACTGCAGTCTAATTTTACTTTCTCATATCTAGATGCCAAGTGACCCGAAAGCCTCGGATTTGTCTGCATGACCTTTGAGGACCCACAAACCTGAGAACAGAGCAGGATGCAGATATTGCAAGCACCGTGGTAGTCCCCAGGGATCAAAGAACAACCTCCATTGTAAGTCAGTGGATGGGTACTGATGGTCCAGGTTGACTTCATCTGATATTCACCAGCAAGGCCCCATCAGTTGTGGTATTTGGTGTCTGTTCTAATTGGTTGGTGCCTATTTCCAATTGCTTGTTAGGTATTTTGAGTGTCACACCTACTGATGACTCAGACTGATGCCCGGAAGTTTCAAAAGTCCCCTGCCCCAGCTTGGATCACCTGGTGTGGATAAGGAAAAAAGAAAGGGGAGAGAGCACCCTGCAGTGACTGATGACTTCCTCTCAAGGAGACTGGATAAACAGTGACTAAGTTTAATCTGACTGTCAAGCTTAACTTTTCCACTGTCAGTTTGTGAACTAATTTAAGTTCATTTACTGTGAATAAAAGAGAGCTCCACTTTTTAACATGTAAAATTCATAGCTGCTACAATGTAACTGCAGTTTAGCTTTTGCTTCTCTTATTTAGATGTCACATGTGCCCCAAAACCTCTGAAGCCATTTCATTAGGCATTAGCTTGGGGAGATCTAAGAGGAAATGTGTTCTTTTGCAATTTTAGGGAGAAAAAGTACTTAGTGGTGGTGTGTTACCACAGTGGAGTTGGATTTACAAGCTGGCATAGTGGAACTTCACCTTTCTACTTTGTGGGGATTGAGAAAATTGGTCAAGCGAACCCCGCAACAGATAGGAGGCTGAATAATAAGTTACTTTCTTTCACATGGGTTAAAATCCAGAGACTTCGATTAGGAAAAGCTCAACTGGAAGAGCAAAAACAAAAACAAAAATACTAGAAAGAAAATGGACTGATGTTCATAGCTTACCACAGAATTATCAGAGGGACTAAGATATTCTTCTAGGGAAGGGATTTATCAGCATGTCTGAGAATGAGTTTCTTTAAAGTTTTAAGAAATAAATACTTTGAGTCTGTGTTTGAAAGCAACAGATAAATTCAGAGTGATTTGAGGTGAAGTCTTTGTGAAAATGTTACTTGCCCCTTAAAAAAAGTTTTTTATTTGTCTGGGTAGACTGTATGGGGTCATTGGCTGTCTGCTTAGGACCCCAGAGACATGGGCGATCAATACAAGGGAGATGTTTATCAAGTCAAAGATGAATTCCTCATCTGGAGGCAGTGTGAACATTGTTAGACATTGGAAGGGGTGATTGGTGAGAGTGATGGAGTCCCTGCTCAGGGTTAGGAAGACCAGGGAACATTTTTATTGGCCTTTTGGGTTTTAGAACACTTCAAGGTGAAAGGAATAAAGAAGATGAAGCAGCTGGGTCTGATAGCAGGCTTGGTGGGTCAATGCTATACTAGGTTGTCTTTCAATCTGAATGACCTCTATTTGAAATTTAAAACAATTATAGAATTTTCGCTTTAAATAGTGGATAACAAAAATAGGTAAGAATGGAGAGCATTGGAAAATATGACTGACATGGGGTAAGGGAAATGGTCTCATTAGTCTCAACATTTTTTGGTTTTAAGAGTCAATATATTTTTCAGAAATTCAGTTGGAAGACATTCCACTGAATGGCTACAGAGGATCATCAATGACTCTAACAGTGATACTCATCACAATCTGGAAAGTGCTCAGAATTTACTGCACTGAGAGAGGGTCTGTGAAAGAAATTGTTCGTTCAGTGTTTCTAGGTTTCAGGGTGATTTTTTAAAACTCATATAGGATCAGGGTCACCTCTAGGTTGTACAAGGTCCTGGAAAGATGTTTTTTGCAGGTCCCTTATACATATAAACAGTTTGATTAAAAAATTAATTAAATTAATAATTTAATTTAAATTATAAACCCATATGAGGTATAGTAATTTATCAATGATATGTAATTTTACAACCCATGTAAAATTAATAAACTCATGTGAGGTATAGTAATTTATCAATGAAGATTTAGAATCATGGGTGAAGAAATGATATTTATGTATTTGTTTACTGTCCAGTCAGTGCATGCTAACTTCATATCTCTCACCATGGGAAAAAGGTGAGAAATAGGTTATTAGTTACAATATCACAACTGTTTGGAGTCTGTATTATTGAAGCAATGCAAATAGATCTTCTTACTTCCCTAGGTCTCTCATAACCATTCACTTAGTGCTGGTCATATCATTACTTATGGTATTCATCCTCCATTGTGCTGCCTGTAAATATTGATCTCCAGTGACTCTAAGGAATCATTACTGTGCTTCTTTGCTGATGACTGTAAATGTAAGCTTATCCAGAGCATGCAGAAAAATGGGAATAATTTGTTTCTTGGCCATGTTAGGTTTACTGCTTGCAATTTTATAGTATTAATGTAGAATAACACATTTTTCTTGAATACTTTAGGATCCAATTACTGCATTCCTACACATCTCTTTCAGTGTTGATGTTGGGAGAGGGTCCTATGGACCCATCAAGAAGAGTGGTCCAAATCCCACAGAAAGACCAATGGGGAAAATACAGTGTCACCACACTGATCAAAGTCAAGAGGGACAACTACTACAAGGGTCTGTAGCCATTTGCATTGCGGAGTAACAGTCTCCAAACTTTGGAGGAAAATGAGTGAGGACATTCCTGGGGACCCTCTGACATGTGGCAAGGAGCATGTGAGAGTGGGGTGGCCACCGTTAGGCCAGCAACAAAGGTGGGGGATGGTCAATCAGGATGGAGCATGCCTGCTGCCATCCTACCACCCTGGGTTTCTGTAGACTGGAGGCAGCACTGCAATGGGTATACTGACAGGCCCACATATGCCAGGCTCAAGCCCAAAGGGGACAGTGAATCCATAGCCCTCAATAATCCTATGGCCAATGTGAGTGAGTCACCCACATCAGTATGCCAGCATCATTCCGGTGGCCCTATGTGAAGAATAGGTCCTATGTGAAGAAACACCATGCTGGCTAGTGGGGGTGACCCATTTGCCAGGACAACCTTCTGGAACAGAGCCTGACCATAGGCCTCATATAGCCAAGAGGTGAGAGAGCACAGTTGGCCCCATCCTGGGGCAGAGGGTTGGAGAGTGCCTGAAGAGGAGAAGTGGGGGCCAGAGCCCATGAAAATCCTGGTCTGGATAGAGGTGCTCCATCCAGATGGCACTGCTAGTCCTGGTAGACCCCAGGCAGCTGATGAAGACTTCAAAAAATTTACACAAGACCTCCAGAGTGCAGATACTCTGAGGTGTTGATGGGGCTGTGCCACTTGCCTGGGTCTAAGGGTGGTACATTGAGGGGATCATATATAAACAGTCATCCTTGACTTAGAGTTGGAGATACTTCAGATAGACCTTCAGAGATACCTTCACTTTGCAAATGGTCTGTCAGAGTGAAGTGGTGTAATTTCCCAAAGACGAAAGCTATATATAATTTGTTAGGAGGGCATGCTTATGTATATAAATACCAATAAAATAATATAAGCACATAATTTATTTTATATATTTTTTATAAATGTATGTAAACAAATATATCTTCCACATAGTTATCTCTTCTATTTGGTAGAAGAATTTGGCTTCACTAATGCATTTTACTCAATCTTTAAAAATTCATGTAACCTATCCATTGCAAAGCAACGATTTTCATATTTTTGATCCAATAAGTCATTTCAATATGCAAAATGATGACACTAATATGACACTAATTCATTTCTTCACTTCTTAAAGAAACTGGTTAGGTATGCTTATACTGAATACTGGGTTCTCTTTACAATCATATTTTCTTTATGGCTGATACTTCTGTGTAATTTTGTATAATTTAGCAGATTTCTTATTAATTAACTGCTTGTTCAGTCTGACTTTTTCTTTAAATATATAGTACTTCTTGTTGTATTTTCAAGAGAATACTTTATAAAGAAAAATTGTTCATCAAAGAAAGGAAATGAAAACCCCATGGATATTGTGTAAGAAGAGAATTGTATCATTACCAATGAAATATTCTTTCCTATAAACCAAATGAGGAACCAGACTGGGAAGCACTAAGTATGCTTAAATATGCTGAGATCTTGGAAATTTTAACTATTAGAAGAACACATATCACTGCCTGTGTTTTAATGGATATAAGTTTCTCATTCTGAACATTCACTGGAATTTGAGAAGTGGTACCAATTATGTATTGTGAGATTTGTACTTCTAAACTTGGTGGCAGTGCAAGGGGCATCTGGAAGTGTCTCTTGTAGGTGGGGTGGCTATATCCCCAGTATGAAGAGGGAGAGAATATAGGGTCAGAGTGGGCCTCATGGTGGGGCAGTGGTGAATATGAACCTTGAGGGCCAGGTGGTGGTTGGAAATGGGAGTAGTGGATGCAAAGCATTGCTGCCCAGATGCCCCTTCAGGTAGAGACACACACTGCCCAGCTGCAGGGATGGTTGGCTGTGATGGATCTCAGTGGAGTCCCTCTCTGGAAACTGGCCTTTGCCAAAGGTGTGCCTCCTGCCTGGGGAAAGCCTCCAGTGACTGGTCAATGTGGGGTAAAGCACACAGCCCCTAGGTGTAATTTATGACACCCCTACAGGGTCATCCCAGCTCCAGAGCTTCCCATGGGATCGGATGAGACCTTAGCTGTGGACACATCATGGCTCAGTTTCTCCCTTTACCCAGTCCTGTATCCCTTGCTCCCTCACTGGTCCTGCTGAGAGCTCCCCACTAAGCCTCCTGCTTACATATCCCAGCAGCTCATTGTCTGTTTCCAAGACTCCTAACTTAGGACAGTGTCAGGCTTTCCAGGTAGAGGATGACTGTGGGAAATAGCAAGATGTCCAGTTTGGCTGGACTGTTTTGTTAAATGTAGGGGCAAAGTGAGGCAGAAGTTTGGGGTACAAAGTAGAGGGGCAGGGTTGGGGGATGGGGAAGATTGACAGTTTTGAGCACAGGACATTCTTATGGCCGGTTTAGGTCAAATTATCAAAATTGTCTTTGGTGTATCTCAGGAACTATGACATGAAATATAACTGAAAGAAGTTGCTCTATAATGTACTGTCATTTTTAGATGCAAATCACATTATCAATGGGCCATGTCTTTGGGACTTTGTTTTTCAAAGAAATAAGACTGGATTCTGAGCAGATTGTCCACATAAGCAATCTCCACATACATTTGCAAAATAGCTAGTAAGGCTTAAAGCTTTCACCTCTTCCCTTTACAGTACTTGTTGCTATTTGTGAGAAACCTACTGTGTACCAGAGATAGTTTATGCTATCTCTGAGACTCAAAACAATCCCGTAAGTAGTGTCCCATTTTTAGGGATGGGAAAACTGAGGCTTGGATGGTATAAGGGACTTGCCTAGTGAGTAAGGGGTGGGGATGGGATTCAATCCCAGATTTCTTTAACTTGAAAGCTCCTGCTGTCCAAGTCAGATGAGCTGGTTCCATGGAGCCCATGATCTGGGCCTCGTGCTCTTGAGCTCTGACTCACCAGGGCCTAAGTGATGATGGAGACATGTCTCATTAACCCTTACAAGTCATCTGTTCAGCTAACTGAAGCAGCTGTTTAACAGCTTAGTAGCTGACCTGAACAACTATTCCTTCCTCAATAAAAATAATAATCATAAAAATCACTTATATTTTTATAATTTGTAAAGCCTTTTTTGTGTCATGTGGTTTGAGCTTCACAACAGAGCTGTGTGGTTAGTAGAACAGAACATTATCCCCATTTTATGGATGATGGAACTGAGGCTCAAAGAAGTTCACATTTTCAGATTCACTTGGTTTAAAAAGTGACCAAGTCCTGAATTTGCTGCTTCCACATTGCTTCTGTTAAGCTATTTACTTAAGCATCAGAAAGGGAATGAGAGTCTATGGAGAATGTTCCTCTTACTTCCTTTGACCTTGGTCAAACTAAATCCTCTGCAAGTATACTGAGATTGTTTGTGAAGGATTCATCAGCTAAAAAATACAAATGGCACAGTCGAAGTGATTAAAAGTGAGGTTTGACTCTATTGTAACTTGCTGAGTAGACATCAGTATTCTGGCACCCTTGCACATGACTGTAATTATCTCTAATTATCATTACATTCTGATGGATGCTTTCTACTTCTGTCAAAACCTCATCTTTTCTGCTCCTATCACCTGGAGGGCCCTTATCTTAAATTCCCTAGGATTGTCATTTAAACTTAATTGCCATGTCTCACCAGCAAAAAATTCCCAGGTTATTGAAACAAGCATCTTCCTCTATGTACTTGGGTTTTCTGTTTCACTGTTTACCTGGCACTTTGTACTTATATAGCTTTTAAGGATTTTCTTTAATTTATTTCTATTTTCTGATATCATCTCATCAAAACAAGTAAAATTTCTAAGCACTGTAGCTATGCTGTGTTCCTGGCTTTGCAGTATTCCTGGTATATGTTAGTGCCACAATCCTAAAGGAGAGAAGAATTGAGATGGGGTCTATCTCTAACTGAGAAAAGTGGGATATGCTGGAAGTAGTGGAGATGGGGGTGGGGAGAAGCATAGAAAGAAAGGGGAGGGGCGGGGCAGGGACAGAAATGGAGCCTTCATGAGAAAATGCACTGGGGTTCCTCTGCTGAGAAAAACTTCCCCTTTTTTTGTTTTTTTATGAACTCCATGAAAGTGAATTGTGT